TTTTTTAAATGTGATTGTTGGTACATTTTACCAGTTTTTACCATACTTTCAAAATAAAAATTAAACTAGGAAAAATATGCAATATGAAAATAATTGAAGACAAAATGTGTTTTACTGAGAAAAAACAAGATTTGGTTTTTAAAAAGCCTTTTTCCAAAAGGTACATCTGGAAAAAGGGGGTTCGTCTTATATGACTAAATAAATAAATAAATAATCAGGGTCATCTTATACTCGGGCCAATACGGTACTTTTCTTACGTTATCACAAACTTACCATTGACAGAAAGTCAGCTCTACTGCCTTTTCTTTTGCAATCCTGTGGTTCATGAAGAACTTTGTTTTCCTACCTCCACGAGTGCCATCTATTATTGCCTTATCTAAAAGTGCTCTTTCCCTTTAAACCTAGCCAAAAAGCCATACGTGTTGACTGTGAAACACAGTAGACTTTAATAATATGCATTTATGGTGTAATTACTACATTTTCGTGTCCATCCATGTTCATATTTACTGCAAACAATGCGCTGTTACTTTAATTCAGCGTTTGCAGTGCAGCAAAAATAGACTCTGTGCAGAAACGATCTCTGCTCTGCTGCAGACGCACCGCTCCTGAACACACTGCCGGACCGCAACCGTGCGCAGTGTGAACGCTTTATTAATCAGTTAACATGAGCGCGGAAAAAATACGCACCACAAACGCACTAAAAATGGAGTAATGTGAACCTGGCATTATGTGTGTGTGCTGCGAGTGTGCATGAGTGCACGGTCTCCAGGAGAGCTTGTGAGTGCTGAATGGTTAAACACTGGCAAGAATTAAAAAGAAATGCAATTTATAAACTTTAGTGACGATGTGACACTGCCTCAATTGTGCAAGTGACAATTCCTGTGTCAACTGTGCAGTGTGCAGCTCGCTTATAGTGCAGACACGATGTGTGGTGGTTTGAAGACATTTGCGTATTTTGAGAGAGAAAAAGAGTGCGCGCGCTGTGATTCACTCATGCTGTTTGTGAAATTACGTCTCACACAAAGTTTTCAAATTACTTTATAAGTTATTTAATGAAGAAATATGAGTGCCTCACCTTCAGCATTATCGCAATTTATAAACTTTAGTGACGATGTGACACTGCCTCAATTGTGCAAGTGACAATTCCTGTGTCAACTGTGCAGTGTGCAGCTCGCTTATAGTGCAGACACGATGTGTGGTGGTTTGAAGACATTTGCGTATTTTGAGAGAGAAAAAGAGTGCGCGCGCTGTGATTCACTCATGCTGTTTGTGAAATTACGTCTCACACAAAGTTTTCAAATTACTTTATAAGTTATTTAATGAAGAAATATGAGTGCCTCACCTTCAGCATTATCATTATTTCACCTGCGCCGGACAGAGACTGAGACGGTGCCGCTGCATGTCGTGCCAAACCTCTCACAGCAGCGTCATCAGCTTGAGATCGTTTTTTTGAGATCTGCCTTTTTAGAGACCGCCGATCAATCATCCCAACGTGATTATCGGCCGATAGTGGGGTGTAGTGGTTATTAGAGCCCGACCGATATATCGTTTGCCGATATTATCGGCCGATATGAGCCTGTCACCAATATATCGGTATCGGCGAATATGCCGCCGATATAAATTTTTTTTTACAGAACATATAATACAGATCAAATGCTTGAAATGGTGTAATTACTTAGTTTGTCCAGCAGAGCGCGGTCCTTTGTTTGCTACTGGCGACCTGGATGAAACACTTTAAAACTTATGTCTATGGAAAACCATTGGAACTTTAGCCATATCTCCGTAACGGCGCAGCGAATCCGCACCAAATTCGGGGGATCTCTTCAGCTCGAGGAACCCTCTCGAACGTGAATCAAGTGTACGTATCGAGGCCCTCTTTCGAATGAGACCACCGCCGCGTCGATAGCCCTTGGGGTTCGGGAGTTACGGGTGGTTAAATTCGCAGTCCGGCGCCGACCGATCTAGCGATCCCGGGGGGCTACCGACACCCGGGGGGCTACCGTTCGCGAGATAGTGACACTAGCCAACACTTTCACTTCAGAGGTCTCTTGTTCAGGCAGCAGCATTCAAGCGTTGGCTTATTCGATCGTAAGTGCCCTGCGAAGTGGACTTCACATGAAATTCTGCTATGATTCCAGTTCCAAGCGAACGCACACGTTACATTCAAAGGGCATTAAAGTGCGCGAGATGTGAATTTATATTGTATTTATTTACAGAGGTAGGGGAGAGCAGGGCACAAAGTAACACTTTTTGACTTTCTCAGTTTGTGTAAATCCACATGGGGTTCAGAATATATATATTTTTTTATCCACAGTAATTTTTACACTTGTCTAGTACAAATATGTCGCTTTGTTTCATAATTACAGTGTATACGTTTTTCTTTATTTACCCTCAAAAAATGGAAGTGAAATGTTACAACATGCCCCATAGGTGGAACACATTGTAACATCTGAGGGGCACGTTGTAACTTGACCATATGACAGCTTAAAATCTTATCTGATCGAATGAAAAAAATATACAAGACAAACTAGAATATTTTGTTAATAAATAAATAAATATAAATATATATATAAATTATTATTATTATTATACATTTTTTTTCAAATAAAATAATGTAACGTTTTTTAAGAATTAAAAATACTCTGATTTTGGAGTTTGACAATGAACACATTGCAACCATGCTTGGGACGGCCCACATAAACATGCAAAAATGCTTTACATGTCTTGAAATAATAATTTCTAAACATTAAACATTGACTGCCAGTCTTTATTCACCTGTTTCTCGTTGTTTCTCATTAAAATTAATTAAA